GGGGTACATCGGCCAGGGATTCCTAGAAGACGCCAGTGGGGATGGGGATCGGTCAATCGATGCTCGGTTGTGTTTTTAATGTGTGCTGTTTTTTTGTGAGGTGCTGTTGCTGATGCTGCCGATCGGGGAGGCGTCGCGAGCTCGCTAAGAGAACGACGCTTCGCGCCGAACATGGAGAGGAGGCCTCGGGCACCAGCCACGACGGACGGGAAGGAGTCAAGGCGCAAGAGGAGCAGGGAAGGTGATGATGGTGACGATGAGGAGAATGAGGGAGAGGAGGGGAGAGGAAGAGGGGAGTCGGCGGCGAGCGAGGGGGGGAAGTGAGAAGGAGAAGGCCTTCTCAGAAGGCGGGGGGACTCCTCGGAAGGCCTGGGCACACCCGAGCGAACTGAGAGGGCCCGCCCCCATCGCACCTTCCCCGCCCGGGCGCGCCGCCCGGGGGAGGGCGGGGAGGAGGACGAGGATGCAGAGGAGGAGGGGGGAGGGAGACGCGGGGACAGGATGAGGGAGTGACGTGATAGGGGGAGCGAGCGGAGGATGCGGGAGGGAGGGGCGGAGGGCAGATGCTGGTGGTGATGATGATGAGGAGGAGGAGGGGGAGGAGGAGGAGGAGGAGGAGGTGCAGGAAGAGGAAGAGGAAGAGGAAGAGGAGGAAGAGGAGGAGGAGGAGGAGGACCAGTGCAAACCCAAGACTCATCAACGATGGATACAATACGCCCTCCCTCGGAGATCCCTCTTCACAGGCCCGAGAAGGGTCATTTCCACTGAGGGAACTGCCCCATTGAGGGACAACCGTGTGAACATCTTGAAGCGTGCCAACAAAATCATGATCAGGATTTCACGAATTAACCTGACTGTTACATGTTCTCGATCCTGATGCGCGCAATAACACCGTTCCTGGGATTTCAACACTGCGAATCCACGTAACTGTTGCGCCCTGGCAATCTTGAATCGTTCCAAAACACCATGTCGGGTACGTCAAACATGAGAACCCGTAACACTCCTGCACATGTTTACCATCGAATGTGCGCGGCGCTAAGGCGAGAGCCACATTTTGAAAAGGAACTGTCATCAATCCGTGAAAACCTTTCCACTTTAAGACGAATGTGTGCGGCGCTGAAGCGAGAGCCACATTTTGAAAACGGCTCGGCCTCAATCTGCGAAACTGTTGCAACTGTTAACAAAAACGAATGTGCGCGGCGCTTGGGAGAGAGCCACATTTTTGAAGCGCCCTCCATCTGTGAAGCTGTTCTCAGTTTTGAGCATCAGGGGTCTCAGACGAAACGCCCTGCCCGCCCTTTCGATCGGCCTCGGGGTGCGACAGGGAGGAGTTATCCACAAGAAGAAGGAATGGAGGAGGAGGAGGAGGAGGAGGAGGAGGAGGGGGAGGAGGGGGGGAGGGGGAGATGGAGGAGGAGGAGGAGGAGGGAGAGAGGAGGAGGAGGAGGAGGAGGCGTGAGAGCAGGGAGGACGAGCAGCAGCAGCAGCAGCAGGGGAGGAGGGCGGAGGCCCCGCCCCGCGCCCCCGGGAGGCGCCGGGATCGGGGACCGAGGACACGGCATGGAGGACCGGGGGCGTCGCCGCTGCCACGGGCCACCTCCGCCCCCTCGGGTCCCGGTGGCCTTCTCCATCCCTCCCTCCCCCTCCTCGTCGTCGTCCTCCTCCTCCTCCTCCTCCTCCTCCTCCTCCTCCTCCTCCTCCTCCTCCTCCCCCTGCGTGTCCTCCTCCTCCTCCCGACGTTTTTTGGCGAGCGCGCCCTGGTTTGTGACGGTCCAGTTTTCGTGGGATGTCTGTAGCGGGAGCTCGCGTCAGATTTCAGATTGGGTCTCGTCATTTTTAGGATGGCCCTGTCAGGCCAACCCGAGTCCCCCGTACCCGAGTCTTACGTCTTCCCGACTTGAGGCGGGGGCCAATGCAAACGGGGGGCAGCAATGCTCGGCCACGCGCAGAAGGGGGGTAGGGAGAGGGGCGAAGGCTTCTTAGAGGCACCTCTGCTTCTCAGAAGGCGCGGGCCTGCTCTGTAGATGTGAGGCCGGCGCCCTCTAAGAGGCAGCCTCCTTCTAAGAAGCCTTCCTCCTCCCCCTAACCCATTGTGCGCACCGCCATAATGCTTGATTAGGGAAACGCGTCATAAACGAGATGTGTGGAGGTCCGTGAGGATCTGGACGACGACCGCGGCGTCGGCGACGACGACCACCTCGGCAACGACAGCGGGCACGAAGACGAGGCGTCGACGCTGCGGGTGGCAGAGGCGACGACCGTGGCCCTGCTGGGAGCGTCTGGGAGCCCTCGCGGAGGGGGGGGGGGGGCAGAAGGCCGGGGGGGCCTCGCAGGGGCGACGCTTCGGGGTTCCAGGGATGGGGCCAGCGCAACTTGGCATCGCTCGGACGTGTGCATTTCCCCTCCGGCGAGGACCATCGAGGAGCATCCTTGATCATTTGGCGAAAAAGCCACGCACGAAACCGACAAAAAACACAGGGAATGGACGTCCGAGCGATGGCCCGTGCAAGCGGGGCTCCGCCAGAGCGCCCCCGGGGGAGGCCCGTGGGCGGCCGCGCGCCGCGCCGCAGGCGGCGGCGCGGCGCCGGGGGCGTGCTCCCCGTCGTGGCGAGCGGCCGCGGGCGGAGGCCCGAGCGCTGGCCCGAGGTCCCGGCGGGTATCGTTGGGCGCAAGTCTGGGCTCAGGAGGCGGGGGTCAGTGCTCGGGGGCGGCAAAGAGGGGGGTGATGACCAGTGGGGGGGGGGTCTCATGGCGGGGGCCATGATATTTCCCGAGATTTCATGGCGCCTCTTCTTATTTCATTCCGTCCCTGGCCCCCCCGCTGGGCCGCGCACATGCCGCCGGTCATGATTTGCACCCCCCCCTCTTGGACACCCCCCTCTTGGCCGCTCCCGAAGTGCGTCATCGCTCCCCCCGACATTCCCCGCAGGGGCTCGCCCTCCATGCGGCGATGCGTCCACGTGCGCCGCGCTCGAGCAGAGCTCTGGATCTGTCGCCCCGCCAGACGCCGCTCTTTGCCTTTGCCGTTCTGGGGGTCCGCAAGAGCGCCGGATCTTTGCAGGGCCAGGGCCGCATGGACCCGGGCTCGGGCGCAGGCTCCTGCAGGTTCCTGCAGGATCTCGCAGGATCCTGGAGAATCCACCCGGCACCCGGACCGGACAATTGGCGTTTCCTAAACGGTCTTGTGCGTCTACTGAGAAGCCCTGACCTGTTTGATTCTTTCTCTGGGTGCGTCTACGGATCGGCTCCGTTTGTCGGGGTGGCTATTACCGGGGTGGATTCTCTGCCCTCTATACAGAAGGTCCCCGAGCTGGTCCCGAGGGTGGCGGCCGCCTCCTCGCATGGGCGGCCCGAGGCCCAGGGATCTCTGGCGACGTGCGCCGTGCGCGCTTCTGTCGCCCAGCCCTGTGCCCGGGTCTCGGACGACCTCAGCGGTTCCGTCCCGGCGCTTGTCCGCGATGCTGGCCTTGGGCGAGAAGTCGAGTTCAGTCGGGCGTGTCCCTCCTACGTGAGGAGCACCCACGAGTAGGATAAAACAGTAGTATGGTGAAGAGTTGTTTGACTATTTTTTTTGGGGCGCATGCTGTTGATGTAGCTTTAATTTTTTTCATCCAAAATCCGCCTGTAGGAGCACACGCCCGACCTAAGAGTCGTGGGGGGGCGATCAATAGGGGGGGTGGACAGGTCCCCTTTGGGGGCCCTCTGGCACCCTTTTAGGGCCCTACAGGGCCCTTTGGGGCCTACAGAGTTTTTTTCGGGCCACGAAGGGCCCTACAGGATGTTTCTTCGGGCCGAAAAGGACCCTGAAGGCTTTTTTTCGGGCCCTGGAGCCGTCGCTGCCCCCCCCCAAGCATCGCCCCCCATTCATTCGCGCCCGAGCTCCTCGCAAGCCCGCCTGCGGGCGTCGGGACCATCAAAAACGGATCCGGGGCAAAACGCTGCCCCCCCGGGGAAAGGGCTTGGAGTTCTCTGGGGCCGCGGGCTGAAGCAGCCACATCGGCCCCAGGGGCTGGCGGCGTCGTCGACAGAAGAGAAGATCATCGGGAATAAAAGACATTCCAACCCTGATAACACAATGAAGACGTGGCCTCACTGACGTCCCCGTCTTTGCATTAGAGGCAGTAGATCTGGGCGACCTGGTGCGATACATCTGCGAAAAAGGCCCCCTGTCCCTAATGTCTTTGGCCCTCCTAACTTAGGTCCCCTTCCAAAGGGTTAGGTGTCTTGATGCTGCTCGCCAGGGGAGGGAGGGTGCGGCCGGTCACCGCCACTGCTTGGATGCGGCTTCGCCCTTGCCCACTGCTGCCGCTTACCCATCGGTCGTTGAAAGTAGGTATTTTTGGATTCCCAGATTCCAATCTACTTTGGGCGCCTTCCTACTTCAAGGATCGACTGGCTTCCTTCTTCCCTCCTCATCAGGGGGCGGGCGGAGGCCCAATCTACTTCCGATGCCTTCCTACTTCATGGTTCTACCTACTTCTTCCGACCGATGGGTACCCTGACCGTTACTGGTTGTGTGGCAGAGGCGCCGACGAGGGGAAGGAGGCAGGCTCATGGGGGGAAGCATCGCCCCCCCCCCGCCGACCACTCGTGATCGCCCATCGGCGCTCCCGGGTGCGCCGGTTGAGTGCCGCCAACTATACACACGATGCCCATGATTGATACAGTCAGCCCGCACAGTAAGGATGGGCAACCTTCCCAAGGGTGCCCTTGCATCCTTGCCCCTTCGGCCATCCCTTAGCGACTTTCGCTGGCCAGCCTCGCTCGAATAACGTCCACATGGGCCTCCGAGGCCCTTGCATCCTTACCGCGCATCCTTCTGATACGTGTTGACTGTATGTCGCAAGATGCTGTCGGCGCCGATCTTGGTCGTGGTCCGTACTGGCCGTCGCCCAGTCGCGTGAGTTGCCCACATTTTGACGCTGACCAAGATGGACGGTGACCAACGATCGACACCCGAGGACGTAAGGGCTGCACACTGCATACACATAACTTTGGCTCAAGAACCTGTGCCGAGGTCCACCGTTCTGCGCCGTCGCAGGCTGCACGCGCACCATATCGGCCATGTCGATGGCGCAGAGGAAGCACGCGGCGGCCATCCGCCGCATCTGCCGAGACATGGCGGAGCTCGTGGAGGAGCCCCTCGGGGTCGTCTCTGGGTGGCCCCTCGACGAGGAGCGCCCCTTCGAGTGGCACGTCAATCTCCGTCCCGCCGACAGGCCGCTGGCCGGTTGCGTCTTCCACCTCGTGATGCGGCTGCCGGACGACTACCCTTCGAGCCCGCCGCACGTCTCGTTCCCGCGCCGCGCGATCCCCTCGTTCGTGCACCCCAACCTCTTCGGGGACTTCATCTGCCTCGACATCCTGTCGACCTTCATCGGCGCCCGGGACGGCGGGTCTGGCTGGAGCAGCGCGTACTCCGTGCAGACCGTGCTGCTGCAGCTCGCGTCATTCCTCTTCGAGGCGGAGCACGTGCCGCAGGACCACGGGGGCACGTACGCCTCCGCCCTGACCCCCGAGCTCGCCGCCCGCGTCCGCGCCGAGTGCGCGGTCTTCGAGTGCCGCCACGCCGGGTGCCGGCACCGCGGCAGCGGCGAGCCCTGGCCGGCCCTGGCCCCGCTCGTCCAGGACGGCGTGGAGGCGCCGCGCGCGGCCCTGCCGCGGCCCGCCAGCTGCGCGAGCGTGGCCACCACCCGGGCGAGCCGCGAGGGGCCCCCCGCCTCGGAGAGCAGCGGCAGCGCCTCGGCGCCGCCGCAGCCCGGGCCCGCCGCAGAGCTCGGCGGCGCGGCGCGGAGCGGGGCGCCACGGCCCGGCTCGGAGATCGTGGGCTGGGCGGCCCGCGTGCTGCGCGAGGGCGTCGAGGTGGAGATGGGCGGTGGCCTGCGGGGCTGGCTGCCGCGGGCCCAGCTGCGCGGCGCGGCCGTGGCCGAGGGGAAGGAGCTGCGAGCCCACGTGTCGGCGCACGGCTGGCAGCAGGGCTGGCTCTGGCTCGAGCTGGTGCCGCGGCGCTCGCTGCCGCAGCTGCGGCGCGCGGCGGCCGCCGCGGAGCCGATCGGCGGGCGCGTGACGTCCGTGCAGCCGTACGGGGTGTTCGTGGACGTGGGCGGGCCGCACGCTGGCCTGGTGCACCACTCGGAGACCGACCTGGAGGCGGGCGCGGACCTGGGCGCCGCCTTTGCCGTCGGCCAGCGGGTGGCGGTGCGCGTCCTGGAGCCCCGCGGCGCGCGGGGGCTGCGCCTCTCGGCCCGCGGCGGGCCCTTCCTGCGGGCCCCGCGCCCCGCGCCCGCGGTGCCCCGCGGCGGCCCCCGGCTGGCCGGGCTCGCGTTGCCGTTGCCGGCCCTCGACGCGGTGCTGCGGCTGCTGCCGCGGGGCGCCCTGCACGCCCTGCGCGCGGCCTCGAAGGCCCTCCTGGCGCCCTGCCAGGAGGCCGTGTGCCTCTTCTGGGAGCTGAGGGGCCTCCGCTGCTTCCACACCAGGGCGCCGTTCGACGAGGGGGGCACGGTGCTCGGCCTGGGCGTCGCCATGGTGGAGGAGGAGGGTAGCGGCAAGCGCCACCTCACTTGCGACTTCGACCCCCTGTCCCAGGAAGCCTTCCGCGACCTCGGCGTCTCCCACAGCGCCTGGAAGCAGCAGCTGTGCCATTGGATACCCATGGCAATCTGCCAGGCCCACTTCCAGCGCGGGCTGCCCCAGCTGCTCAAGGCCATGTCCTTCCTGGGCACTGGAGCGGTGGCCGAAGCCACCAGGTCTCAGGGGGGAAAAATCACACAGACACAATTAATCGTCGATTCCCCAGAAAATAAGGGGAAATATGGGAAGTGGGGGGGAAGACGAAAACCCCCAAACTATGGGAACATATAGGGAATCAATGTATTTGTGTGTATTTATGTGTGTGCCCTGGGGCCCCTTCAAGGTCGTCCGGCATCGGCTCCGCCGGCAGGCAGTCCGCTGGCGCAGTGGCGGCCGAAGCGGGCTTCAAGACCTTCGACGAGTGGAGGGCGGAGAGGGACGCACTGCTGGCGCGGCAGCGTGCCCAGCGGGAGGTCAGGGTTGAGTCGGGCCTGTCCCTCTACAGGGGGAGTATTCAATAACAGACCAAAAATTAGTCAGGGGACGATTTTTTGAGCACTGTTTGGCCATTTGGGGGTATTGTTTAAAATAATTTTGAATTTTTTCGTCCAAAATCCCCTGCAGGGGGACATGCCCGACCTAAGGTCAGGGCCACCCAGCGTGCGGCGGACCGGGCAGCGGCCGTGCAGGCCGGGCTGACGCTGGAGGAGTGGCGGGCGCAGCAGCAGCAGGAGCAGTTGCGGCAGCGCAGTGCGCGGGAGGCCGAGGAGGCTCGCCGCATCGGGCGCTGCCGCGCACTGCCGCTGGACCTGGCGGCGGTCCTGGACGTGCTGCCGAAGCTGATGAACTCGCAGGTGGTGCTGCTGATGAGGGGCGACGTGCACGCCTCGCAGAAGGCGCTGGCCGGCTACATGGCCTTCCACCACTTGCTACTGCTGTTGAAGAGCCGCTGCCAGCCCCTGTCCGAGGCCATCGAGGAGCGCGTGGGGGACTTCGTGGGCAGCGAGGACGGCAGGCGGAAGGACGTGGTGCCGAACATGGGCGAGTTCCTCTGCCTCGTCTCCGTCTCCGACAGGTACGGCTGGGACCAGGTCGGCGTCCCTGTGCTGGAGGAGTGCTTCGACCGCAACGTGTTGTGGCTGCTCAGGGCGCACCCCCACCTGGCCGAGCCCTCGCGGGCCAGCCTGGATGAGAGGCTGGCGAAGAGTCTGCAGACTAGCGAGGTCTCCCGCAGGCTGCTCATGTTCCACGTGTGGTTCCTGCGCAACGTGGCCGACGGAAGCGGCCAGGAGATGCTGGACCGCTACGAGCGCACCAAGGGCCTGCCGACGCAGTCCGCCGTGGGCGCGCTGCAGCGGGCGTGCCGCAGACTGCTGGCCCCGGGCTCGACGTGGGAGCAGTTCCTCGAGGCCGTGGAGGTGCAGCCCATGGGGCCCGAGGCCTTGGGCGCGTGGCTGGCCCGCAGCGCCCGCCGCTCGGCGCGCAAGGGGTGCCCACTGGAGGGTTTCTCCGAAGGGCTTTGGCGACCCGTCCTCCTCCTCCTCCTCCTCCTCCTCCTCCTCCTCCTCCTCCTCCTCCTCCTCCTCCTCCTCCCTCCTACTCCTGCCTCCTCCTCCTCCTCCTCCTCCTCCTCCTCCTCCTCCTCCCCTCCTTCATCTCCTCCTCCTCCTCCTCCTCCTCCTCCTCCTCCTCCTCCTCCTCCTCCTCCTCCTCCCTCCTACTCCTCCCTCCTCCTCCTCCTCCTCCTCCTCCTCCTCCTCTTCCTCTTCCTCCTCCTCCTCCTCCTCCTCCTCCTTCATCTCCTCCTCCCCCTCCTCCACCTCCTCCTCCTCCTCGGGTCGCCAACGGCCTCGCAGGAAACCGTGCAGGTACCATGGCTCCAGGCGGCGCTGATGACGGAGGAGCCGGTGGGGGTGAGCCTATCTTCGAATGCTGCCAGTCAGCCCTGGCGCGGGGGCGGAGGCCGTCGTGGCCTGTCTTTTGTACAGTGTACAGTTCTGGCCTCCCTCGCGGCCCACTCCGGCCTCCAGAGTCGCAGGGGGGAGGCGCGCCACGCAGGCGCGCGCGGTCTTCAGTGCTTGTCTTACCGCACTTCAGAGCCGAGCATCGCTGACAATGCGGCGCGTGACTGCGCACAGTTATACGTCGGGCCTGTCCCTCTACAGGATGAATATTCACAAACAGTCCAAAAATAGCCCGGGGACGATTTCTTGAATGTTTGTTCGACCATTTGGGAATCTGTTGTGAGTATTTTTTATTGTTCGTCGAACATCCCCCCTGTAGGGGGACACGCCCGGCTTAAGCATAGTTGTTCCATCGCGCTCGAGCCGAGCGTGCACAGTGTACAGTTTGGAGTTTGGCCAGAGTTTCGGGCCGGACGAAAGGGGGGGACTGGGAAAGGGGGGGGGTACGAAATTTGCTGCATGCAGCTGGTTTCGGCCTCACCGAGGGGCCCATTCCTCGATACGTGGGCGCCTCCGGCGCCGGGGGAAAATCAGCTACGTGAGCTGATTCTCAACCCCCCCCCTTTGCTATCCCCCCCGTTCGCCCGACCCGATTGGAGCTTGGCCAGAGTTGCACCCAGGGGCCCACGGGCAGCTTCCCGATGCAGAGCCGCCCGGCGGCGGTCCTCCTCCTCCTCCCCTCCTCCTCTCTCCTCCTCCTCCTCCTCCTCCTCCTCCTCCTCCTCCTCCTCCTCCCTCCCCCTCCTCTCCTCCTCCTCCTCCTCCTCCTCCTCCCGACGATGCAGAGCCGCCGCCCGCCGGCTCTCGGGGGGGGGGGGGGCGCCGCCGCGCCTCCTCTCGCGAGGAAAAAAAGTAGCGCACGAAGCTTGCGGAGCTCCGCGCGGACTTCTCTTTCGATCGGCGCCGGGAGCTGCGCCGCTGGGGGCGCCCTCGGCGCGCTCTGCGCGCCAGGGAGGGGGGCCCAGCGCCGAGGAAAGAGACATCCGCGCGGAGCCCCGCACGTTTGCGTTCTTCACGCTCCGCGTATGCCCACCATTTTTTCGCCCCCCTCCTCCTGCGCGCTAATGTAGGCCGGTGCATCTGCGCTTCGTTCCTTTACGCCGCCCGACCTGTCTCGCCGCGGTCGCAGCCGTGTCGGGGCCCAGGTTTCTCTGCGCCCTTGCTAACGTTCACTTCGACACGGCGCGGCGTTAGCGAGCCAATTTGGCAGCTCCCGCGTCAAGCTCTCAGTTCCTCTCGCCCCCGCATGGCGCCGCAGCGCAATGGCGGAGCAGGCAGCCGTCAGCCCGTGGCCACCTGGCGCTGCCAGTCCTGCGGGTGCAACCGCAACGTGCTCTCATTCTGGTGGTGCAAGCACTGCGGCAAGAAGTGGCAGCCGCCCTCGGTCGGCACATATCGTGGGCCCCAAGGCGCTTGGCAAGAGGGGAACGGTCTTCGTCTTTTCGATGCTGATCGTCCTCATCCCCCTCTGCGTCCTGGGCTCCTCACCGCTGGAGTTCCTCCACCATCGGGTGCGGCAGCCGAAGGTGGCGCACGTGGCGGTGCAAAGCTTGGCCTTTCATCGACGGACCTCGCCCTCCTCGTGGACCTCACTGGCCGCGCGGGTGACCAGGAGTCGTCCGACAAGTACAAGGAGCAGCTCAACAACCTCACCGCCCGCCCCGCTCCAAACGTGCCGCTGGAGCAGCGGGTGGCCCAGTGTCAGCGTGAGCGTCTCCGTCTGGCCAAGAAGCTTCAACATGAGCTTGACAAACTCGATCGCTGGGAGAAGGAGATGGAGCAGCAGCGCACTCACATCTCTTCCATCTCAGAGCAGCTCTCGCGTCAGGAGGAGTCCTACAGCGAGCTTGTTGGCAAGCTGGCGTCCGAGGTCCGCAAGGAGTCCCCGCCCCCCGAGGCGCCCAAGATCAATATCGAGGACCTGGTCGCTGGCAAATTTGATTCGTTCCAGATCGACCTCGGCTCTTCCCTCTCCTTCGACGCCGAAGACGAACTTGAACTTTCCAAGGAAGACAAGGAGGAGCTCGATCGTCGGCAGAAGAAGTTGGCTGAAGGTCTTTCGAAGTTATCCAAGGAGCTCTTCTCTCAGGCCCTGGCCCAGGCCAAATCCATTCGTGAGCAACATGCTGAGCATCGTGCCCGCCTTCGCAAGAAGAGGAAGGGGGATGATGGCGACACAGTGCCAGATGCTGCTGGAGGTGCTGGCCCTGCTGCAGGCGAACCACCGCGTCCTGATGCCGGTGCTGCCGCGTCCGCTGGGGCTTCCGCGTCGGCTACGGGTTCTGCGCCGTCTTCCACGTCTGAGCCTCCTGAGGCCGCCCTTCTCAGTTCTGTCAAGGCCCGTGTGGCCAAGCTTCAGCAACGGGAAGCCCCCCCCTCGCAAGCTTGCGCGTGAGGGGGGGAATGCTTCGCTCTCAGCACACGTCCATCCAGGGGGGCCCGAACCCCCCCCTCAAGAACTTTTATATCTCAAGGTCATTACGGTTAATGGAAATGCTTGGTCTTCCGTGAAAGACTGGCTTCCATCAACCAACGCTCATATCATACTTATCCAGGAGCATAGGCTCCACGCGGGAGATCCCGTCGACCAGGCCTCCGCGTGGTGCCTCTCTAACGGTTTCAAGTCCCTCTGGGCCCCAGGCTCCGTGGGCCCTCGAGGAGGCCTTTCCAGTGGTGTGGCTATTCTTGCTAGGGCTTGGCTAGGTATTCACTCTCCGTCTGACGGGGGAATTTTGTGGCCTCACCGAGCTCTCGCAGCTGTCGTACACCCCCCAGGGGGCCAGTCCCTCCTCGTCTCATCCCTTTACTTGCGAGACTGTGAAGGGCTCTCGGACGCGAACCTCGAAATATTATCTGCTGTGGGTTCCTACATGGCTATCTCGGGGCTTCCTTTCATCTTGGGTGGAGATTTCAACATGGAGCCGTCCAGCCTCCAGCAGGCTGAGTTTCCTCAGAATCTTCGAGGCCAAGTCGTTGCCACTACCAGCCCTACGTGTCACGGTGCTGGCGGGCCACGACTCTATGATTATTTTGTGCTGTCTGGAGGCCTATCTCAGGCTGTTAGCTCGGTTGCCCTGATCGATGCGCCTTTCCACCCGCACGCTCCTCCCCAGATCACCTTCCACGCTGGTCTGGCCGATCTGCACGTTCTGGCTTTTCGGAAACCTCCCCCGATCCCGTTCGAGGCCCCTATCGGTCCGTGCCCGTGCCCCCCCTCGTATAAGCAATGCTCGGCCCTCCTCGGGAAAGCCTTGCAGCGGGCTCGTGCTGGCCAGACCGATGTCCTCGACTCACTTCTGACTAAGGCCTACAAGTGTTGGGCCAACACTGCAGAGCTTGAACTCTGCTCGATCATGGGTATAGCACTCCCATACCGTGGGGCGAGGGGCAGGGGTCCTGAAACGTGGTGGCGGCCCGTTCTGGGCCGTGATCGCGGGTCGGTCCGCTACCCCGAGCTCCACAGTATGCGATGGTTATCCTCGGTGTTCCAGGCTTTTGTGTCTTCGTACTTGGAGTTTCTGGAGGACTCCCCTTCTTTGCTCAGCGAGCTCAACCGACGAGCTCGACTTCTTGCGCAGCCACCTGATTTCATCAAGCATCACCAAGGTGAGTTTTCGGATTCGTTTCAGGCTGCCGCTGATGTTGGCACGCTTTGGCTGGCAGCTGCATGTGCGGCTGACGTTTCTTGTGCTGGACCTGCTCCAGGGCCTGTTCTCGACCGTGCTCTCGTTGATGATGCTCGTCTTGCTATTTCGCAGGCTTTGGCCAAGTGTAATGACAAGTATAAGCAGCAGTCCCGTAAAGACTGGGCGTCTTGGTTGAACGAAGGGATAAATCAAGGCGCCAGGCGTGTCCACCAAGTTACCCGTGACCCTGCTGCGTGGCGTCCCACGTCCACCCTCAGCCGTTTCGGGAATATTGTTTCGGACCCGCAGGAGCTGTTGAGAGCTGAATCCAAGCGATTTGGCTCTTTGTGGAATGCGACCCCTACCCCTCCCAGACACGTGACCAAAGTTTTGGATCCCCTTCCCCTTGCTAGCAGTGATCAAATTCGAACCTTATCCAGGAGCTACTCTCGTCGTTCGGCCGTCGCGTTGGACGGCTTTCACATGCGCCACTATCAACACCTCTCCGACGAGGCCCTGGAGTGTTTCGCCCTCCTATTGCAGGTGATCGAAGTCAGCGCGATGCTTCCCCAGCAATTGAGAGCCTTCATCGTGGCTCTGATCCCCAAGAAGGTCCCTGGCTTCCGACCCATCGGTGTTTTCTCCTCTCCCTTTAGGCTTTGGGGAAAACTTCGCCGTCCTTGGGCCCTGGAGTGGGAAAGACAGAATGATCGGCCCTACTGGGCCGCGGGGAAGCATCGGTCCGCCACGGACATTGTGTGGCGCCAGAGTTTTCGCGCGGAGGCCAGCACTTCGTCTGGCCAGCATGCTGCTTCGATTTTCTGGGACCTTTTGAAGTTCTATGAGCTGATCCCGCTGCGCATCCTTGAGGCGAGGTGTCATCGGCTCAGCTTCCACCCGACTCTGATCGGGGTGTGTCTCGCGGCTTATCGATCGAGCAGGTATCTCGTTCTCAGTGGTGTCGTCGCCCCTGGGGTCTTCGCCGACACCGGTCTGGTCGCTGGGTGTTCTATGGCCACGACCCTCATTCGGGTCTTCGGTTTGGAGGCTTTCGACAGCCTCTCGCTCCCCCCCTCTGTCACCCTCGATGTGTACATCGATGACACCAGCCTCGATGGAGTGGGCAAGCTGGAGCCGTTGGTCGCTGACATGCGCTGCGCGGCCAGTCAGCTTGAGTTTGCGATATCTCACTCCATGAAGGCTCACATTGCTCTTGACAAAGTTGGCATGGTTACCAGCAGTAAGGTTATATCCAGCAGGCTCCAGGAGGCCTTCGGAGAACTCGTGGGTCCCCCCCTCGAGTCGGCTGTCAACCTCGGTCATGACCGTACTGCTGGTACCTCTAGGCGCGTCCGTGGACGCAATTCTAAGACTAAGGCCCGCCTGCTGTCTGCCACGCGCCGTACGCGGAGGCTCGCCCGTCAGCGAGGAGTCATCGGCAGACGTGCAACTAAGGTTTTCTGTGCAGGTGCTCTCCCAGCACTGCAATACGGAGCTGACGTGCATGGCATGTCGGACGCCGAGCTTTTGCGAGTACGACGTCTAGCAGCTTCCACGATGAAGCCATCCTGCGGCGGCCGCTCTCTATGTATCCTCACTCGCGTTGAAGGAGATCCTGCCTGGTATGGGTCAGTCGCCCCTCTCCTCCACTACCATAGAGAGCTATGGCTGCTGCGCACGAGGATGACGGATTATACTCTTTCCTGGAGCCAGATCAGATTGGGTTGGGAAAGCGTTTGGAACAATCCCCAGCGTACCTGGAGATCTGTCAGAGGCCCTTTAGGGGCCATGTACTTATCTATTGCTAGATTGGGATGGACCATGAGTTCCCCATGCACCCTGACCGACGACCGCGGAGTGGATATCCCTCTCCTCCTCATCTCTCCTGCCCTCCTCAAACGACTTTGTAAGTCTGCGATTTTCAAGGCTCTTGAATGTGAGGCTGGTGACAAATATGGTCAGGGTTCTAGGCTTTGTTTTGACGTTCTGTGTACCTCTTTGAATTCGAAGAAGTACACTCCCAAGCAGAAGGGAATCATTAGAACGCTTTCGTGTCAAGGTTTTTGGCCTTTTAGTCGAGCCAAGGCCCTGGGATACCAAGTTGAGGACAAGTGCCCTCTCTGTCAGGCCGAGGGCGACACGTTGATCCATCGCCTCTGGTATTGCCCCTCTTGCGAGGCCGAGCGTTCTGAGCATATCAAGCCCCAGTTGCTGAGCCGCGTACGCCAGGAG